TGACTGAATTGCTGTAGTCTCATGATAAAACTTGAATGGATGAGAAGTTGCTTCTTAGGGATGAGCAACGAAAGTGGTTTCTTGTGATGGAATCTACTCCTGGTAAAGATGCCATGAACATTGTTGAAATGGCAACAAATAATTTAGAATAGTCTATAAATTTAGTTCATAAAGCAGCAGTAGGTTTCAGGGGACTGACTCCAGTTTTTGTAAGAAGTTCTACTGTGAGTAAGATGCTACCAAACAGCATCGCACGCTACAGAGAAACTTTTGTGAAAGACTGAATTGACTGAGCAAACTTCATTGTTATCTTATTTTACAAAATTGCTACAACCACCCCAATCTTTAGCAACCACCAACCTGATCAATCTGCAGCCATCTACATGGAGACAAGACCCTCCACCAGCAAAATGATTATGACTTGTTAAAGTCTCAGATGATCTTTAGCACTTTTTAGCAACAAGGCATTTTTAATTACAGTTATATATATTTTAGACATAATGTTATTGTGCACTTAATAGACTTAGTATAGTGTAAACATAACCTTTATGTACATTGGAGAACCAAAAAAAGTCATGTAACATGTTTAATTGTGATATTTGCTTTATTGCTGTTGGCTGGAATGGAAACTGCAGTTATCTATGAGATACGCCTATATCTATAAAAGCTGCAATGAAGATGCTTACAGTATGGTTGGAAAACATAACTAATACTTCACAAATCCCAACATTGTATATAATTATATGCCAAGTTATATAGTATAGACTAGTATCATAGAAGTTTTGGCTAAAATCTGTGAGCAAATTTTTGTATGATTAAAAATGCTATGCAACACAATAAAAGAAGGTATGTACTTAAATCACTTTGGCAATTGTGAAGATGAGTTTTAAGTACTTGATGTTAATGATTAACTTGAAAGTAAACTACTAAAAATTGTTCCTATAAGGACAACTAGAATATTAGCTCTGCTTTCTGGAATATTTGAGCAAAAAAAAAAAAATTTGACAATTTGACTTAGATCTGCCTTTACTAACAAAATAGAGGCATAAAAATAGATTCATAGTCATCCAATAAGAAAACATAATTAAGGGCCCAGAAATATAAAGTGACAATTTCTATTAAAAACGCAGCACATAAGAATATCCATACACCGGTTCAGTGCCTGGGTGTCATGTGCTGTCTAAATAAAAACCTGAGCAAGGCAGGGGAAAATGTCAGCGTTAATTGGTCAAATTAGGCCATATTTTTAGTTGACATTACATTTGCACTTGACAATTTAGGTTTGACCTACACACCCAAAAATTTACATTTGACCCACACTAAGAGAATCCATACCATTATAGTAGGTACTTGACAAAGAACATGTTTCTTGTGTTATATTTTTGTATAATTTAATTTTCACAAATATATACCATTTCCCTTGCCTTGAAAGGAAATGATTATTTCTTTTTTTTATATAAGACAGACCTGAGACCTTTTTCCCCAGTTCCAAATACTTGGTAATATTCAGTTATTTGATTAACTGATTTGACTTTATAGGCCACAGAATTAATCTATTTTTAAAGAACTGAGTTTCCCAAGGCATGGGACACCTACACCGCCTAATTTCATTAGTAGGTATATAAGGTATTAAGTAGTCCAGTAGGAAAGGTATTCCTTTTATAGTTTTCTTTCTGTTGTTTATATCAAGGATTAAGTTTCAGTATCATGCAAGCATGTTTTCACCATTTCTCAAATAGGAGGCAATGTTCCTTTACAGCAAAGACAACAGACCTCAGGATAAGCAGACAACAATATCTACTTGGAATGTAATGTTGTCTTTCTTAGATTTGTATTTACTTTTACCATGGTCATCTACTTATGGCAAGTGATATTATACTGGTTCTCATTTACAGAAATAATAACAACTTTCCTCTAAAAATGAATTTAAATCAAGTTAGTTGATGTAAAGAAAAATATTAGGGAAATAATAGTATATATAGTTCTCAGATATAGGCAAATTTGTACCATGGTAATTCACTAGTGACTAAAATTGGGAAAACAGAGCTAAAATAATTAACACGTTAAAAATGTTTTTTCATTCAGTTATTCATATTAATTACTGTTAATATTTTCATTGGTATAATATATGAATTCCTAAGTTGTCTATTGGCAGGGAATTGCAATCTATTATTTAATCCAAATAATTTGTAGAAAATAAATTATTGATACAATTTAGTTAGTATTAAAAGACAGAACAAGGGGATTTTTAATACAAGTAAGGTAAAATAGTTTCACTGTTATTTGTTCTAGAAGAGTTTGGAGGTACTGCTGTTATTACCACAACACGAACCTAGAAGTTCAGCTTTTAGGAGTACCACACAGGCAAGATCATATTACAATACAGCCACTTGGCATCCTAAAATAATGGTTCTAACCCTGTATTCTACCACAATACATGGAAAATAATGGTCACATATTAGATATATTCCTGGGGGAATGCCCTGATTTTGGCAAAATTCTCCCCTTTCTGCGATTTTTTCCAGAACATTTAGGCAATACAGGGCTGTAAATGTTGGTTAGGCATAAGTTCCAACATGTTTCCTTCTATCCAAGAAAGCAAAACCGAATGTTAAGTAAATGAAAAAACACTAATATAATCAGCTTATTTAACAACAAAAAATAAATCATTCACAAATTTAAGTGCTTTATCTATTTTTCACAACAAATACTTAAGGTATAACTCACTACTGACAGGACTAACAATGGCTCATGACACCTTGGTCCAAACATACTACTTTATTGTTGGAATACCAGATTAATGTCACCTCTTTATATTTTAGTTAAGACAGAGATACCAAGGTAATGACTGGATTAGAGCATGATTTGCAGATGCAGTGACCTAAGTGAATGGTACTGGCACCAGCCATTTATAATTTGATAAAGCAACCAATCATCCAAATTTACTTGCAACACTTAAAAGGTATGAGTTTTATAATTAATGGAAAAAACCTTCATATTAAGGTTGAGAAAAATAAAGGTCTCATTTTGTGACACGAAAGTAGAATAACTCTCAGGTGGTAACCCAAATGTTCCCTTGTGAATTAATGTGTTCTACAATATTAGTAAAACCTAACCACTCCTTTTATGTATAAAATGTAGCACTCACTGATAACACTTAAAATGGCCAGGAGTGGTGGCTCACACCTGTAATTCCAGCACTTTGGGAGGCTGAGGTGGGTGGATTACTTGAGGTCAGGAGTTAGAGACCAGTCTTGCCAACATGATGAAACCCTGTCTCTACTAAAAATACAAAAATTAGCCAGGCATGGTAGTGAGCACCTGTAATCCTAGCTACTCGGGAGGCTGAGACAGGAGAATTGCTTGAACCCAGGAGGCGGAGGCTTCAGTGAGCTGAGATCACACCACTGCACTCAAGCCTGGGCAACACAGTAAGACTCTGTCTCAAAAAAAAAAAAAGCTTTTGTGTATTCTGATACAAGTTTTAACAATATATGAATTAGCAGAGTTTAAAGAATTAGATGATATAGCAAACTGTAGGGATAAGAAAGAAATGTATGTAAACTGGGCCATAATGAAAACAGTTTGTTTAAAGGTCCACAGATCTGATCAGTGTCATTGACATAAAATCAAGTCTTGCACTGAACTAAGTCAACATACTGTTTAGGAAAAAGAATTTCTAATATGGATTACAACAGAACTGCCAATTGCTTACATACATATGTGTGTTCCATTTTTGTTGTTATAACATCAATTAATAACAATCATCTTAATTTCATAATTATATTTTGAACTTACCTTTGCCAAAATAACAGAAGCAGAGCATGGTCAACATGATAGTTTCAGGCATCTTAATAAAACCATCATTTTTGGCATCTATGCTGACATTGTAATGGCCTCAAACTGTCAATAACTCATCCAAAGCAAATTTAATAAATGTGGATACATGGGCTAATATTACAGTCAGTTTGCCTATATTCACTATGCACATTAGCTCTACAAAAGAATGCAAATCAAGGAGGCTGAGGTGAAAATATCATTAAACAATAATCCCAAATTAACCAATAGTAAAGTAGAACTCTATGTTCAAGAGTTGTACACTCACACACATGATAAAAGCATAATCATTAAACTTTTTTCTGAATTGTCTAGGTTTAGCTAATAATTTTAACGTTACTGATGGACTTTGGTCCTCTTTAACAAAAATTAGAAACATTAATTAACACATTCTTCCCAAACCTTTATTATAAACTTTTATGTTTAAGTATCTATAATTTTTCAATTATTAGGGAAACAATGTGATATGTCATTTTAATCGTGGGTGGATCACCTGAGGTCAAGAGTTCAAGGCCAGCCTGGCCAACATGGTGAAACCCCATCTATACTAAAAACACAAAAATAGCCGGGCGTGGTGGCAGGCACCTGTAATCCCAGCTACTCAGGAGGCTGAGTTAGGAGAATCGCTTGAACCTGGGAGGTGGAGGTTGCAGTGAGCCAAGATCGTGCCACTGCACTCCAGCCTGGGTGACAGAGTGAGATTCTGTCTCAAAAAAGGAAAAAAAAGAAACATAAATAAGTAAAAAATAATTATTTGTGTAAGGGTAGAGGAGATAGAAAAAATATATGACTTACTCTCTTCATTCTACATGTATCATGTAGGTGTAGAGTTTACAGAAATACCTTTGTAAAACATGGTTACTATTTTTTGTTTGTAGGTATGTACTTGAAGCATCAGTAGGTCAACTGGCTAACATTCCCACCACGGCAGAAATGCAAATTTTGGAAAAAACAGCCCATAATACTTCAATCGACAGTGAACACAGAAGGCATTTTGTTATCATCAAATCGCCAAACTAATAATGGTGAACAAACAAGGCAGAATTCTCCTGCTGTTTATATTAAAATTACCACCCAAGCATCGTTCAGACATCTCAGGTCCAACTATAATTCTGCATTTGCCCATTGTGTGCTTAACATCAATGTGATCTAGTAAGTACTACCATGATCTTTGAGATTTCGAAGAATCACAGCAGGAAGGCTATGGGACTGCCACCCTGTCACTAACTCGGCCTCTAGTTCCTTAATGTGGGCCCTGAGCATGAGGGGTGGCACTTTCAGAAGCAGGTCAAGAGGCAGCAAAGCTGAAGAAATAAAAGGGGGAAAGATATGAAACTGTAACATAAATTACATTGAATTTTAGAGAGTTGTGTTTGATTTTATCGCTATCAACACTAAGTTACCTGGTCTTGGTCTTGATCCTGTTCCTCCAGTGAAGTCCCTGAAAATAGAATTATAGGCCATTAGAATGACTTGTTCAACTTGGATTTGACAAACTAAGAGCCTACATCTTGCTATGGTCTACATTATAAAGATTAATAAAGATTATTTTCCCTCAAGATGCTCTCAAGAGTTTAATTCAGAAGGAAATAAATATATTGCAACACACAGTACAATTGACATTCTACTGACAAATGGCAGAATCGTCCCACCACAGTTGTTTTTTAGGCTCTAAGTATGACTAAGAGCCTAACTCTTATGATCCTGAATAATTTTCTTGTTATACTTAAACTCGAAATATGATTTTGCACTAAAAGGATATAAGATTTAAAATGTTATATACAGTATTTTCTATGATTTGTTCCTGCTCTATTAAAAAACAAAACAAAACAAAAAACAAACAAAAAAAACTTTATTCCTCTTCCTATAAAATGTTTTTTGCATTGAAAATAATTATCTTTCCTAAAGTTGCCAGTGTTATTAACATCCCTTGTTTGCCTTGGAGGTGGCCTTAGACTGTACCAGGGATATGTGTAAATCACCTTCAGCCTTTTTTTTCCACTGTAACCTTTTTTTTTTTTTTTTGAGACGACTCTCGCTCTGTAACCCAGGCTGGAGCGCAGTGGCGCGATCTCAGCTTGTTGAAACCTCCACCTCCTGGGTTCATGCCATTCTCCTGCCTCAGCCTCCCGAGTAGCTGGGACTACAGGCACCCACAACCATGCCCGGCTAACTTTTTTGTACTTTTAGTAAAGACGGGGTTTCACCATGTTAGCCAGGATGGTCTTGATCTCCTAACCTCGTGATCCACCCACCTCAGCCTCCCAAAGTGCTGGGATTACAGGTGTGAACCACCACGCCCAGCCTAGAACCAATTTTTTAATAGTTTTCTGGAATGAAATAAGAAACATCTGTGCCCTGACAAGTTGTAAGAATCATTCTTAAACTTAATGCAATCCAACAAAAATATATCATACATCTACTATGTATAAGGCACATGATAGGTATTTGTTAAGTAGGAATAAATACAGGAATTTAAATACAAGTAAACATGGCTGATAAGTCTCTTGTCCCAACCCTTTTGTTTTAATCATAGATTTTTTGATACATGCATGCAACACCTACCTGTGTTATTAAGTGTAACAAAATTGGCACTCATTTACCTACCACCCAATTTAAGCACTAGAATAATACCAAAATCTTTGTATCCACTTATGAGTTTCTTCCCTGTTCCTTTCCATTCCCTCTTGATTTTCACCAGGGTAGCACTCTCTTGATCCCATAATATATTCTGTTCCATTCTGAGCTCAAAGTTCCAGAGCCTTGAAAAGTAAATGGAACCCGCCAGCCTTTAACAGTTTATATACTTTCCCTAACCCTGAGATAAGGAGCACGTTCAAAAAAAGAAATGAAGCTGATCCTGCCCTCAGAAAGTTTGAAAAGAGACATGATCACAGCAGTGCCCATGTGTAGGCAGGACAACCTCAGGGCTGAGCTGAGAAGCAGAACATCTGTTCCAGCTCCTCGTATGCCTGCACAAATGCCATATCCCAGCAAATGCTTTCCGAATAACTTTGCCCCTTAGCCTTCTAGATGAGGCTAGCACTGTCTAATAGAAACTGATGGCAAGCATCAAACATAATTTTAAGTTTTCTGGTAGCCAAATGTTTTAAAAAGTAAAAAGAATACAGTGAAATAAATCTATTTTATTTAATCAAAAATATCCAAAATATTATTTCAACATATAAAAATTGAGATATCTTATTATTTTACATCTTAATTAATATTAAATGAAATTTAAAATTCAGTCCCTCAGTTGCACTGGCCACATTTCAGCTGCTCAAGAGTCACATGTGCCTAGTGGCCTCCATACTTAACAATGTGGTCTGCCCTTCCTTAAGTGTTGGTCATTGTCTTCATAAGCTTACTACATTCATGCCATGTAGCTGCTAAACCTGCAATACCTCCTGAATCCCACTCTTTTAAAAAGTGAATACAAATGCAACTGGAGGCAAACTTGTATCCATCAGGTTATTCATGTTCTTGAAAAGCTGATAATCACTCACATGATGAGTTTGCAAGATGACTGTTCCAGATGTCCTGAAGAATCTAACATTTCAAACATTTTTACGTATTAGCAAATGCTATGCATAATGTGTGCTAGTGGGATATGTGACATAGAACACCCTGACAATGCTGAGTTGCTGCCGCCTCTGCTATTCCTTTATATAATTTTAAATTACTCTTTAATAAACTTTAGGGAATCTTTAAAAAGAACCATTACACATTCATTCATTCATTCGAGAAATATTTATTAAGTGCCCACAATGTATAGCCACCATGTTGGACACTGGAGATGGGATGGTGAAAATAAATAGTTTCCAAGTCTTGGGACTTAAAAGATTGCATAGAGATAGCAGAAAATAAATGTCAATTTCTCTGGAAATTATATCACTATCCGCAAGAAAATATAGTCATCTGAAATTTCAAAATAGAACAGGCTCATTGTGACCAGAAGTGACAGCTTTTAACTATGCAATTGTTGAGTTCACAGATGGACAAACGATAGAAATTATGCAGAGCCTGGGGGAAGACTGCCTCTAGATTGAACCACATTGAATGTTTATGCCCAACAGAGCGTTATGGCTACAGAGGGTGGTGTCCCCATCGTATCACAAGCTGAAAAATATACCAAAGTGGTTTCACACAGAGAACATTCCAGAAATAGTTTCTGGTGAAGAGGCTTAATATATTATAGTTTGTGTTCTCTGAAAATTTTGAAATGGGCATTGACCAACAGCACTTCAGGCTGATGGAAGAATTTCAGAAAAATAGAAGGCTGAAAGAATTCTAAAAGGCCATCCCTTCCAGCTCTCTTCAGACCTAGTATGACCTCATCTGGAATTAATAAGGCAAAAGAGAAACTGAAGTGCTGAAAATGAGTGTTAGCCTACAACTTCCACCCCAAAACACTAACAGATAAAGTGAATAATCCAGGAAGTAGCTTTCTAATTTTTTAAATAGACTTTTCACTGAATTAAGTCAAGAGCAAGGTGAATTATTTGGATAATTATTTTGCCAGCAGAGTCCTGGCCAAGAAGAGAATGAAGCCCTAAAATTTCATCTCTCATAGGAATTCCTTGAAATATATATTTGAACAAAGAAAACATTTTCACATGCATTATGAGTGTATTCCATCATTTAATTCAATTGTGAAAAGTATCAATACTATTTGATATTGATAAAAATAATTAAACCTTATGAAATGAGAGGTTTGGCTTACAATAGTAAGGTAATACCTTCTGAAACTACTGCAACCACACCATGTGAGCTAATGAGCATTTTATAGCTGAAGCTCTCTTTCAGGCAGTGACATTCATACATACATCCTGTGTGAATAAGCAACATTATGTAGCTTTGAGTTCTCCTATGTATCTATAATGTTAATAGAGTTGGTATCATGACAACAAAGTAGTATAATGCTCCTGTGCCTATCCCCTTGTACCCGAATAACATATCTCATAACAAACGAGCACTAAACCAGGAAAGTATAGAACTATCACAGAAAAGAAACAAAGTGGTCTTACTATGCGTTTTTTTGTTTGTTTTTGTTAAGACTGCTGGAGTGTGACATTGGCAGATGGGCCAGGTTGATTCTAGCAAGGAGTAATCATGCAGTATTTATTCCTCCAAAGTAAAACCAGATACAGATTATGAAAAAGATGGAGGGAGAAAAGCTACAAAATAAGCAAAACTTCTGCTTTTAGGAGGCAAGATCCACAGGTCCTGAAAATACACAAGGTCTTTCCAGTCACAAGTATGATGCTGAATGATCACAAACCTCCACAATCATCTTTACATATAAAGACTTAGAGGACTGGCATGGTGGCTCATGCCTGTAATTCTACCATTTTGGGAGGCCCAGGCGGTGGATCACCTCAAGTCAGGAGTTCGAGACCAGCCTGGTCAACATGGCGAAACCCCATCTCTACTAAAAATTCAAAAATTAGCTGGGTGTGGTGGCAGGTGCCTATAATCCCAGCTACTAGGGAGGTTGGGGCGGGAGAACCGCTTGAACCCAGCGGGCAGAGGTTGCAGTGAGCTGAGATGGCGCACTGCACTCCAGCCAGGGCAAAAGAGCAAAACTCCGTCTCAAAAAAAAAAAAAAAGACTTAGACTTAGGAGCACACTGTCAAATACAATTATGCATACACTGACAAATCAAAAAAGTTGTGAACCACAGGCATCTTTGATACCACAAACATCCAGTGTCTCAAACCAGCCTGCCAACTATACTCTGTTGCCTGGGCGACAGGAGGCAAGCAGACGTGGAGAAATCTTGTTGCCTGAGCAACAGGATCCCTTTAAAAAAAAATGTGCCTTAAGCTGTGGCTATGGCAAAGGCTGTCAGTAGGCAAGATTTCAGTCCTTGGTAATGAGATAAAGAATTTACACTATGATAACAATCATTCATCTATTCATTAATCAGTATCTGTAGGTTGGTACCTATGTGCAATACACTGTGCCCTGGAGAAGGCAAAGATGAATTAGGCATAGTTTGGCACATACTCGGCACACAGTAATAAATATCCATCAATTAAATAAATGAATGAAGGTTCTTAAGATGGTCGTAAAACAACGACTAAACTTTACTAGGACCTGAGCATATGTGATAAAGAGGCTGAAGCCCCCGTGAGCATTATCAAGTTCCACTACAGAGAATATTGTAAGTTGAAATAATATGCTATGACTTGCTGGATTATAATCCTCAATGTGTGTATACTAGGTCAGCCCACGAAACCCGCATAAAAACTGGTAAAAGTCAAGCCGATTCTTAATGCCTTCCTAGCAAATAGTAATAGATATAAAAGATTTCATTTCAAATTTGAAAATGATTAAAGTTGGAAATTTCAAAGAAATTGGGGCTTATTCCTCTCTTGATCTTGCCATTAACTATATTCCTCAAAAAAAGTTGTATCAACTAATGATGGCTTGGATTCCCAGGTGCCTTCCAGTTCTAATATTATTCTCCAGCCTTGAGACTTCAAAATGTCTCTAAGGAGGCAGGGGCTATCCCTCCTAGTTCCATTTGCTCATGTTTTATCCATTTGTCTGGATCATTTGCCCAAAAGCATATCCTAAGTTATTAGGGAGTTATGTTAGTTATTCAGCAGGCAATTGGTTTAAATCTGGCTCCTGATATCTGATATCTGACCAAAGTTAAGAATTTATGCTTAAGCTTTCTCTTAGTACCATTAATATTTAACCAGGGCCACATCTGACTTCTATATTTTGGAGGCTGTGGTCAGAACACATATGTCCTTCCCTGTGACTTCTCTCATTGGGCCTTTTTAAAGAGCCAGTAAGGGTCCCCAAGTGGGAGAGCTGCCCAGAGTCTCCTTGTAATTGTTATACCATTTTATACATGGCACAGAATAGGAAAAAAACAAAACAAAACAAAACAAAAAAACCAGAAAACCCTCTACAGGCTGGATTTTCAATTTATTTTTATTCTATTATGTAGTTTTGCTATCTCCTTTTATATTCAAACTTCTTATTTAGCTTCTAAATATTTTGCAGGATGGGTTCACATTTCACATTCATAAACAAAGAAACCCAGAAAAATCCTAAACAAATTAGATTGCAAATAACTTTAGCTTTATTTAATGTTCTTTAAAGAATTATAAATACATTTTGGTATTGTCTCCTTTTAATTCAGAGAAGCCCTGGAGATTACCTGGGAGGGAGTCAAAAGTTATTAATTTTCTCTCCTCTTATTTGGCATAAATCAAAGGCTGTCTTTTACCATTTATTTTCTTCTGAAGTCTGCCCTTGTCTTTCCACTTCCCTGTGAGCTCCCTGAAGGAAGAGAGCTTGTCTTAAACAAACCTGTGTTCCCTGGTAGCATGTCACACTGTATTACCACATTTCATGGCACAATTTTGCAAATGTTGCTTTAGGTCAGGTCCCGTTCACCTTGGAACATACTTTCCAAAACATCAACTTCAATGTATGGGCCACTTTCCATATCCATCTGTTGACTTGGTCATAACCCCAAGTTAAAGCTTGTTCCATATCCCTGTTTCAATGATCTTCAGATTAAACTTTGCCTTTCTGCTGATTCTAGCTTACCCAATTTGTTTTAAAGTATTTAGTTAATGGCTAACTTTTTAAAAACCATCTCAAGCTCTAAAAGATATAGACCATATTGGGTTTTTGTTTGTTTTTGAAGGGGTGGACATCAACCAATTTGTGTAAATAAGACAATTTTCCATGGATCCTTTCAAAAAAGAGTAGAATTATTTTTGACAGGGCCAAGATACCTACATTCATCTGATTGGAAATTTTCATTTTAATATAAAATTCACTTAACTGGGAGTACACCATATGTCATAATTTACTTTTGAACTAAAATACTTGCTTTGTTAGTGATAGAAAGTCAGTCAGTGGGGAATATTGGGTACTAGCAAGCCCTAAAGATCCTTTGGAAGATCTTCTAACTCAAATCTCCAGTCCCCACAAACACCCATTGTGGTTCTCTTTGGCATTTTGGACTACTTTTCTTTCCCCTGCCCTCCCCATTACTTCTGACCATGACTCCTTTGCACTTTGGCCCAGTAAAGAATGCCATGAGGTCTTACAGGGTTTTCTCGAATATCTTTCTGACAGATCACACCCCTTATCGATAAGTTTTTCTTGGGTTTTTATTCCCAGAAACACTGGGAAAAAGTTAGGAAATTAAAAGGCTCCATCCTAACTCCTCCTGGTCTTCATCTGAAGAAGATAAATGTATCACTGATACACCTTTGACTAAACAAGAAAAGGATTTGTCTATAGGAACCTTCCTCTGTCACCTAACTGAATCCTCCAGGAATTTGCTGAGCAGGTTCTTCTGAACTTCACTTACATTATGCGATTCCCAGCACCCTCAAACCCAGAGATAGATCCAGATGGTTCCATTGAGGCTGCCCAGCACTAACACCTGCTCCCTTCAGCAAGCACCCCTGATGGACTAGTCAAGGACCTCAGCTCTCCTCAAGGCAGTAAACAGGCGCCTGATCCCAGCCAGCTCAATCTGGCTCTCTCTCTCAAGATTTTGAATCCTAAGAAAGGTGACATGAGAATGGAATAAACAAGCTGGGAGTTTATTTATCCCAGAGTTCTCCTGCCCTTACAAGCCTCCCAAAAATGTCTCCTTTATAGACTTCAGGGACTGAACTGGCTCGTATGCCTTCCCAAGCTTGATCCTCCAGAGTCTTAAATTACACAAGCCCCATAATGCCTTCTAAAAAAACCCCGGTCACATAAGTTAGCTAGAGTCAGGCTCCTTTGCTTGTATCCAAAAAGCCATGCCTGCTATAGCACATCGCAGCCTTAGCATTTTATCACACAGATGCTGCCACCTCCTGAGTGGGAATCATCCCACAGCTCTGAAGACCCCTGCCTGGCATCACCACTTATACGTGGCCCAACCTCAACAGGTGCCCCAGCCTCAGAGCAGTCTGGCAGTCCTTCCTCCATTCTCTGCTCAGTTCTTATCTCAACATTGGCTGCTCCTAGCTGAATATACTCCTCAAATCTAGACAGTCCTCTTATCTGTGGCCTAGAATATCATCTAACACATAGAAACCAGCTGGGCACAGCGGCGAATGCCTGTAATCCCAGCACTTTGGGAGTCTAAGGTGGGTGGATCACCTGAGGTCAGGAGTTCGAGACCAGCCTGGCCAACATGGTGAAACCCCATCTCTCCTAAAAATACAAAAATTAGCCAGGCATGGTGACAGGCACCTGTAATCTCAGCTACTCAGGAGGCGGAGGCAGGAGAATCACTTGAACCCAGAAGGCAGAGGTTGAAGTGAGCTGAGATCATGCCACTGCACTCCAGCCTGGGCGACAGAACAAGATTTTATCTTAATAATAATAATAATAATATACAGAAACCATAAAGTATATTCTTCCTTAATCTCCCTTTCTCTATTTCTCTAGCTTAATTTTATCTTCACCTCCCTTTCTTCAGACACAAAGAAGGAGTTGCCACTCATCTTCTCCAGGCCCACTCCTCTGGCTGTGGTCTATGCTGCAACTGTACACTGTCAGTTATCTCTTTTCCTCTCTAATCTCTCCTCCTTCCTCTGTCCCAAATGCTCTGAGTTCATCCTGATTCTAACAGGTCCTTTTCCATCAAACATTCCCCACCAGCTCACTCTCCCAGCTCATTTTCTCAGCTTCTTAAATGCCTCCTATGTCTGCCTCTGGAACATTGCAATCAAGTTTCTGCTCCCTCTGATCTCACCCAGTGCCAGTGAAGGGGCTCCCATGAAGGTCAGGAGAACTTGCAGAAGGCTCAATCTAATAGTTTTGTTTCAGTCCCTGCTCTAAGAAACAACTGCCACTGACACAGCAAGCTGTCCTAAAATAACAATTTTACTTTGCTTTTAAAAGATAATCTCCCAAACATATTCCACCTTCCCTTGCAACTAGCTGTGGTCATATGAGGAAGTTCTGGCCAATGGTATGTGAACAGAAGTGATGAGCATAACATCTGGGTCATATCCTTAAAAGAAAGAGGGGTGCCTCTACTTCCCCTTTCTTCTTCTTGCTGGCTTGGAGGTAGGATGTGGTCTCGTAAGTCATATTGGTCAAAAAGATGAAATCTATACCCTGGGGATATGGAAGAACAAGATATAAGACCAGGGCTCCACATGACCTCATAGAGCACAGCTGCCCTACCCTGCTGGCCCACCCTTGAGCTCAGAGAGGCTAACTGATTTGCTCAAGGTCACGAAGCTAGAAAAAGGCAGAGCTAGACTAAGACCCAAGTCCAAGATCAGCACTGTTTCAGTATGCTACTTGGTGAACTATAAATGGTTCTGGGCAAGTAAGCTCTAACTCCTTCTATTTCCACAGGCACATGGAAACTTCTGGCTATCAGGTTTCAATTCAGCCATCAATAACTCAGCTCTGCAAAATCAAAAAATATTTCTAGAAGCTCAATTTGTACCTACCTTGTTTGGGATTGTCTTTCTCCTCCCGAAGCACTAAAACTTCTCTTTAAAATGTCTGAGATGAGAAAATAGAAATAAGTTTACATTATTTCTTCTGCAAATCTTTTGTTTTCTAAGTTTTAATAAAACAATGCTGAACAACAAATGCTGGTGAAGATGCAGAGAAAAGGGAACTCACACACTGTTGGTGGGACTGTAAATTAGTGTAGCCATTATGGAAAACAGTATAAAGGTTCTCGGCCGGGTGTGGTGGCTCACACCTGTAATCCTAGCACTCTGGGAAGCCGAGGTGGGTGAATCACAAGGTCAAGAGAGCGAAACCATCCTGGCCAACATGGTGAAACCCTGTCTCTACTCAAAAGTACAAAAATTAGCTGGGTGTGGTGGAGCATGCCTGTAGCTACTCAGGAGGCTAAGGCAGGAGAATCGCTTGAACCAAGGAGGCGGAGGTTGCAGTGAGCCGAGTTGCACCACTGCACTCCAGCCTGGTGACAGAGCGAGACTCCGTATCAAATAAATAAATAAATAAATAAATAAAGATTCTCTTGAAAAAACTAAAAACAGAACTTCTATATGATCCAGCAATCTTACTACTGGCATATATCCAAAAGAAGGGAAGCTAGTATATCAAAAAGATATCTCCACTCTCGTGTTTATTGCAGCACTACTCACAACAGCCAGGATACGAAATCAAACTAAGTACCCATCAGCAGATGAATGGATAAAGAAAATGTTTAACAATAATTTATTGCATATTTAATAGCTAGAAGGGGACATTTGAAATGTTTCCAACACAAATAAATAATAAATGTTTGAGGTGATCAATATCTGAATTACCCACACAATGTGTAATTTGATGACTACACGTTGTATGTAAATATCAAAATATCACAAGTATCCATAAATAGGAACAAATATTATATACCAAAAAAATTTAAATAAGTTTTTTATAAAATTCAAAATAATAAAGAACATATATATTCCATGAATGGCTTTGTCTATAAACACTCTCATATTGTTCTAAGGTCAAACTTTTCTCTGTAAATGGCAGGTAGGAAATATTCTAGGCTTTGCAAGCCATACTATGTCTGTCACAACTGAATTCTGCTGCCACTGTAGCATGAAAGCAGTCAAACAACATTCAAGAAACAAACATGGCTTTATTCATGGCAAACCACAATATCAACAAAAAACAATGCTGAATCTGTTACCTGAGCAATTGTACATACTGTAAAAATTGTCTTTGATTATGAAAACATGAGCTAAAATATGTTACAAATTGTCATTTATTTGTCAGGTTTGTTTAAGGGCTTTTTTTCTAAAGCAAATGTGTAAACAAACAAAAACAACCCTGTTATTAATATCTAACAAAACACAATAAAATGTCATGCAATAAAATGTCATAACCATCCTTGCCAAGTTACCACATGCAAATTTAAGGGTCAAGCATCTCTTTCCTACCTCCCCACTAACCCTCCCACCATTGCTGCCAGGTATATAGAACACTGAACTTATCTCAAAACAGTCAGTAATAAATTTCTTCTGGAATTTGTTATATGTGTTTATATGCATAAATATTTTTCCCATATGAGCTTCATGTTTTCCCAATCGCAAATTAATACACCTAGAAGGCAGGGATTTACAGAGAAAATAGGACAGAATATTGAAAACTGGGGTTGTCCCAGAAAATCTGGAACATCTAGTCATCATTTTAATGGACCAATTAAGTTTGGAAAGGACAAAGAATGTAGCTAAATCCTTAGGGTTCTACTTTGGTCCTTAGAGAGGCTATTTTAAATGTTGTTTTATGAGATTTTCATAGTATAGTCACTGAGGAGAATTATTTTCACTTAATTTATTTCAGAATATTTCTCCCTACAGTTTTTAATATTTTATCAAGTTACTCTTTTTTTTTTTTTTTTTTTTAAGATGGAGTCTGTCTCTGTCGCCCAGGCTGGAGTGCAGTGGTGCCATCTCATCTCAGCTCACTGAAAGCTCCGGCTCCCGGGTTCACGCCATTCTCCTGCCTCAGCCTCCCGAGTAGCTGGGACTACAGGTGCCCACCATCATGCCCAGCTAATTTTTCTATTTTTAGTAGGGACAGGGTTTCACCGTGTTAGCCAAGATGGTCTCGATTTCCTGACCTTGTGATCCACCCACCTCGGCCTCCAAAAGTGCTGGGATTATAGGCGTTAGCCACCGCGCCCAGTCTCAACTTACTCTTTTCAAAAAAAATTGTTTATCTTCATTTTCCATTTTAACTTCTCTTTTAGTTTCAGGTTTGTTGAGTATGTTTGATTCTATCTCTCTTTATAATCTTTAAATTTTATCTAAATATACCTTTTCCTTTTCTTTCCCATATCCCAGTATGACTATTTTCTTTACTGTTTTAAATTGAGTCAAGATTAACATTATGAACTGATTTTATATGTCATATTTTTTATAACTCTAAAAACATTTCTTTTGTTTTATTGTTTTAAATGTAACACAGGCCTTTAGATTTATATAAATAAAATTGTACAAAAATTAGTCTATACCAAGACCAATTTCTTCTACAGACTTTGAATTCCTCTAACCAACAGGCTCGTAAAAGGTCATGTCCATTACTCCCGTGGTTATTTGGCTGTCTCCAAGATATTCTGATTCTCTAGTTAGAACCTGCATTTGCTGGTAGAAATAATAAAACTATTCATTTGACAGCTGAGAAAATATAAAACCACTGTGCTGGCTAACCTTTGGGCTCTGTCAGAGAGACAGACACATCTGTCCTAATTAGCATTGCACCTGAAAAACAAACCACTGGGTTACGTATATGGTGATATTTGCTTGACTCAAGTATGATTTCCAAATCACTGTCTTCTGGAATCCCGCAAATGGCAAATTGATAAAAGAAAGCTTACTGAATGTAGATTCTTTCAGAGGGCTTGAACTGGAGCTGCTGGAGTTATCCGAAATGTCCAATTCGTCATCTAGCTCTGAATATATATCTGCACATGAATTAAAAACAATAGAAATGCAAATGGGTCTTGAAACGGGAAGGAGTCCAGAATGCATTCATGCTTACGCACTGCCACTAGCAGTACCTTTCTCAGTATTTTCCAGGTTGAAGTTATCATCTGACAGGATTTCGTCACAGGCCCTGTCTTCATCTTTACCATAGGAGGCCTGGAAGCCTTCGGGGGGCAGGTCTGCACTTTCTGAAAGTTCACTTTTCAGGCTGGCTGCCCCACTGCTGCTGCTACTCAAGCTTGCCTTCTCAAAGGTCTCCTGGAAAGAGAAATTCAGTTTTTCATAGCCTCTTTCTCCATCCTTCCTTCTATAGGACCTAAATCTTGTTAGAACGTATATTAACTGCTTCAAATATCAATATAAATGTTTGATGCAGAAGAAGCATCAGTAGTTCCACCTACACACCTGGTTCACAATCTGTTCGGTCCATAAATACAGAAAGATGCAAGTCTATAAGCTACATTGGATCAAAAAGGAGGGAGGTGGCAAGAGTGCTCAGTAGAAAAGGCCCATACAACCCAGTACAGGTGGCGGGGGGTGGGGGCAAATTTACTTCTAAGAAATAGACTACATCAATTTAGGAGAAATTTCTCTTCTTTAAGTTTTTTCAAAAATATTTGCTATCAAATCCTCTCAGTACCATAGCAAATAAGCAAAGCTTATTCTCTTCAAAACTCCAGGAAAATTAGTAGCAGACAAAGCCAGGCCATGGAGAGTGAGTGGCAAGGTCTTCCAAAAAAAGAAGGGCTACAGAGAACAGAACTTACAAACCACTTGGGACTCTACACTACTGCCTGGCTTGAACACTCCCTGTAGAACCAGCCACAGTATCCTCCTGAATCCTCCAAAACAGATGGATGCATTTCCATTATGATAGCACTACAAAGTCATCAATCTGGTTGTGCAGTTCCACATTTCCCTCAATAATAGTATTAGAAAATGCAAAAATTATGTCTCAAGGGTCAATAAAAATAAATTAATTAATGCCACTAATGCCGGAAGTTTTCATTTTTCTAACAAAAAGACCGTGTGGAAGGAATGACTATGAATCAGTAAAAAATACCACTTGTTTCTTTACCCAAGCAACTCTAAAACCTAAGACGTTCATTGTGTGGGACTATTTGCAGCAAGTGTGAAGAGCCTTCTTAGGCTGTGGGGCTAAACAGCGCTGACAAAGCAAAGCTACAGAACAGGTAGACAAAAAGACAAAGAAAGGCCATGATGGAGGAAAGGATAACAGACAGAGAGTGTGAGAAGAAAGAAAAAGGTGCATTTATTGAAGGGGAAAGAATTCCCTCTATGAATTGCATACAAGATGATTTACTCGCAAATTACCTAGCACTTCTTGACTAAAAGGCCCCAATGATGCCCATTTGAGAGACAGACTTATTTTATTTCAGATGTATGTGCTTTTTATTTTTTTCCTACAGTTAAAATGACACAGCTTCAAGGCACAGGTTTCTAAAAACTCCGTAATAATAGAATTTGCAGATGAAGTAAACCTAAGTTCTTAGGGATAACTAGAGTCAGAAGTAAACCTCTAAAAGCTTTCATATGTTTATGTTCTGTACGTAAGATGAAAAGATTTAAAAAATATTAAAAACATTTGTGCATTGCAAACTGTCTGATCAATTGCTGTTTAAACTTTCGTTTCCCTGAGATTCTTTTCAGTGATTCTTCAAAGTTTCACCAAGCTCCTTGTTTTCTTGAAGTTAATTTGCAGGTGAAGGAGTATTTTAACTTTGATTTTCCATAATTAGTACATCAAATGTTCAAATGTGGTTTTATGACTTTGAGGTGCTAATTTCTGCTTCTGAGGTCCACCCTGGTTGGCTAACTTACAACCTGAGATGGGAAATGCTTTGGCCACTCTCCGGCAAAAGATATGTGCTACTCAGAAATTTTTCCAATGCCTAAGGCTAGTATGGGGCCTTTAAGGCCAGCCTCAGCTCTGCTACACTCAACCCCTGATACCAAATCCAGGAGCTCTTTCTAAGGCTCAAAACTTTATTGCAAAACCAACTCAACTTCTTCCATGCCTTCCTCTTTTCTTGGTCCCAAACCACAAAACCCTTCTTCCTCTAACTATCCTCCACTGAAGTCATTAGAAATTTGCATAGAAATAAAAACCCAATTCAAGGCCTTTTCCTTTTTATGACCTTTTTTATTTGAAGTAAATCATCTCTACCCTATCTTGAAGACCACAACGGGCATCTGCAACCTTTTAAGGGCTTTACACCCAAGATATGTCAATGTTACCAAGGCTAAAAAAGATGAAGGAGAATTTTTGAATTGAGAAAAGTTTTTATTCTGTCGATGCAATTAAGACACTGGAATTCAAATATCTCTAAAACTAGCAAAACTTTAACAAAGGCTTCATTTCTCTTAAGAACAGTCATGGATAAAACATCAGAGGAAAACATTTTTCTTTGAACATATGAAGAGTCAGGAGAAGCTGGAGTCCCCGCTGAAAAAGGCAATTCGAGACTTAAGGAGGCTGGACTTGCAACCAAAACCCAAGAACCAGTCGGGTCATAAATCAATAGTCACTTGTAACTGCCAAAATTTCATCCATGGGTAATAGACTGTTTGCATAAATTCTGATAAAGGGAAATTTACAATCTGAGAGAGATGCTTTTTCAGACTCTGTATGCATAAAAATATGATAATATAGAATGGATAGTTTTGATTTAAAATTTGTATTTCTAGACAGGGCGTGGTCGCTCACGCTTGTAATCCCAGGACTTTGGGAGGCCCAGGCAGGCAGATCACGAGGTCAGGAGATCAAGACTATCCTGGCTAACATGGTGAAACCCTGTCTCCACTAAAAAATACAAAAAAAATCAGCCAGGCATGGTGGTGGGCACCTGTAGTCCCAGCTACTCGGGAGGCTGAAGCAGGAGAATGGAGTGAACCCAGGAGGCGGAGCTTGCAGTGAGCTGAGATTGTGCCACTGCACTCCCACCTGGGTGACAGATAAAGACTCCATCTAAAAAAAAATAAAAATAAAAATAAATTATTTTTCTATAACAATCCCTTGCAGCAGTTTTTTCTTCAAAAAAATTGATATAATTTTTGACCTTGCCATAAACCATATGCCACACATTTTCCCTACTATGATTTCTGGAGTTTTTCATTGTGAGTATTTGAGTATCCATCTCTTTATAAAATTGTTCCTTGAAGAACTAGGGGCACTTTAGTCCCTTTTACATCCTTTAGTGCTTTGCACAATGCCTTACACATTGCAAAGGCTCAATAAATAGTTGAGCCATTAAGTTGTCCTCAGAAGACACATCCAGCAAGTACATTAAGCTATTAAAGGGATTTAGGCAAGAAAAAAGATAAAGCTTTTGGGGACAGAATTTGGCTGCTATCATCTTTTTCACTTTCTAATTACTAAGATTTTTCAAGGAGTAGGAGAGGGAGTTAACTAGATATTTTCGGCATCTGCATGCATCTGTCCTAGGAATGGACAGACACATTCTGGATATCAATACGGCAGCAAGGAGAATACAATGCAAATCAGACAATAAAATTATCACTGATATGGAAATCAGCACCATTACAGAAGATGCTTCCTGTCACCGCGCTAGTATAGGCACAATTATGTTTAGCTCGATTTTGCGCATTATAATGTAATATTTTTATGTGTGCAGCAGATCATAATACATTTTCAGTGGAATAGCAATTCGAACAGTAACAGACTGACATTACCCAAATTAACTGCTACAGTAGGAAAATTAAGGGCATCTATTTTATTAAAATCAGTGCAATTTTTAAAATTGCCAGAATGTTAGTTTTAGAAGGGAGAGAGAGAAAGAAAAATCAAGAAATAAATGTAAAGGATAACACCAGTTACATCCTATAGATGCTTTACTTTAGAACTAAAAAATGCACTATTTCTTTGTGTTCTGAAATGTTCATATTCTATTAGGTATATTTTTACCCAGTTTTGTTAATAAATTGTACCCTTAAATATCTCCATTTAGTGCTACCAGGTGCTTGAAATTCATCCAGCTGAGGTGATCTTTTATCAGTGGCACACCGCCTCTATACTTTTCATGGATGATTGCACAAAGAAAATTCAAACTAGGAGACAGGCCATTGACTGCATACTACTGTAAATAAACTTAGTCCCTACATTTTAAGGTATATTTTTAAAAATCAGCCAGCATGGTCAGATGATTAAGGAACCTTGTGGACTAGACCACAGCTGAGTGAAATGTTCACTTTAGTGGTGAGATAGGAACCTTTTCTCCAGGCCTCCCTATGGAAGACTTGGCTTTGCCACATCAGAGAGGTGGGCTGATAAAATAAGCCTGGTCTCCACTCCCAACTCAGTGGTAGAGGGAAATCTTTCAATCTTTGATCCTGAAAGTTAGTTTTGTTTACTTTTTAGAAGTAAAGTCTCATTATGTTGCCCAGGCTGGTCTCGAACTTCTGGGTTTAAGGGATCATCCTGCTTAGGTCTTCAGAGTAGCTGGAAATACAGAGGCACAGCACTGTGTCCAGCTTTCCCAAAATGGTTTGGATGATAACATCGTCTATTTTCATCAAGGAATCTTGAAGAATTTCCCTTCCCCCATTCTCCATATACAGTTAAGAGAGCAATAGTTAAACCAGAAAAACTGGTGTTTTGGGACCCTAAAAATAACTGATTTATATGGATTATATAATAAAGAAAATACGCTTTTTAGGTTGGATCTTATTTATTTTGAACTTCTTAAATATTTATACAAAACTAAAAATGTTACTGTCATGACATAATTATCTCATTATTATGATACTATCTTAATTAGAACTTCTTAAAAGCACTATTACATATTAATGAATTAGGGAATTAAATAAATTAATTAAATAAAGTAGGGAATAAATTGGTCATTACAATTCATTGTAAAAATCCAGTATCAAATTTATTATGGCTAAAAATGTTTCACTGTTTTCCCATAACTAACCTAGTACCATATCAGAAATGAAAGGATTTTCTATCACTTTTAACTCAAATACAGGTTTTCTACTACAATACTATACTTTGTTAGTTATAATACTAACAAAGAGGAGAAGAAAAGCAATGTCATAATCTGAAATTATCGCATGTTAAGAATACAGAAGATCTGGTCCATCACAATACTGACCACCATGTTTTTCTAAGACGGCAGACTGACATGCCAATAGAACTAAATGTATATACGAATATATTCAAAAGCATTACAAACGAGGCCAGAATCAGGTAATTCTACTTAACATTTAAAAGAAAC